CTGTACTGTGGTGGTGACAGAGTCAGTGGAGAGGAGATGTTGCAAAGGTAAATTCTATAGACCTTGGCAATAGATTGGATACAGGGGATAAGAGAGTGAGGAGTCAAGGAGGACCCCTAGGCTGTGGGCGATGGAAAGGATTGTGGTGCCTTTGACGGTAATAGGGAAGTTGGGGGAGGGGAGTTGGGTGAAAAGATAAAGAGTTCCGTTTTGACTACATTGAGCTGAGGACCTCTGTGGGACATCTACTGGCCTGCCACCTCATGGAGAGGTCTACAATAATAATAGCTAATGGCTAATAGTTATATAGCACTTACTTTGTGCCAAGCGTTGCACTAGGTGCTTTCCAATGTTTTTCTACCAGTGTTTATGTTGTGCTATGCTCCCTCTTTATGTGGTAGCTTGCCAGGGCCTTTCCTAAAATGTGGCAGCCAGAAGCAAACACAATACTCCCCAAGCCATCTATTCTATAAGGCCTTGATTGTCAATGGCAATGGCGGCCAATAGTTCCCCACTCCTCCTTAATTTCTTGTATATATTTCTTATCTCCCTTTCTATGCACATATTGTTTCCTGTGGTTAGATCAGAAACTTCAAGAACAGGGACAAGTCCATTTTTGACTCTGTATCCTTAATGTCTAGCCCAGGGCCCAGGCACATAGTAAGTCCTTGTTGGTTGATTGATCCAAATACTAGACGACAGTAATCCTGTTCCCACTAAGTCGATGGTTCTTAACCTGACATCTATGAACTCTTCTTTACAAAGTATTTTGAAGGGCAGCTAGGTGGCATAGGGATAGAGCACAATTCTGAAATAAGGAGGACCTGAATTCAAATCCAGCCTCAGAAACTTACTAGTGGTGTGATACTGGGTAAGTCACTTAACCCTGATAGTTCTCTAAAAAAAGGTATTTTGATAACTATATTTCAATATCATTGGCTTCTGTTGCACTACTGTGTATTTTATTTTATGAATTTAAAAATATTTTTCTACAAAAAAGGTCTATAGTTTTTGCCAGATTACCAAAGGGGTTCAGGACAAAAAAAGAGAAGGACCCCTACTCTAAGTCTTCTCCAGGTTGAGCATAAGCACATCTCTATTAGCTACTTCATAGGTAAGATATTATTTGAGCTAGACCTTGGAGGGTAGGGATGGTTTCAACAGGCAGAGATGGGAGCAGTGATGGTGGGGGTGGTATTATAAGCACTGAGTCTTGTATGAGCCAAGGCAGGGAGGTAGATAGTGGTGGATGTGCTTGGAGGATGGTGAACAATCCAATTTGGATGAAAAACAGAATTTAAGAAAGGAAGGGCTGTAGATACTATCTCACTGGAATGGTCCAGAGAGGAGAGGTCTCTGAAATATGGGGAAAGCAAAAAGTACAGCAAGAAGAAGAAGATAGGAGCATGATCACCAACTTTTCTTTGGCTGCCTTAGAGCTAATCATGGAATATTCGAACTAAGAGCAACCTTGGGGATCATTTTCTAATCTAGTGATTTAAAGTATTCTGTGAGGACCCCTGGGAGTCAGGAGACCTTTCATGAGGTCCTCAAGTATTATTATTTTCATAATAATACTAAAATGTTATGTGTCTACTAAAATACTCCTCCCTTTTCTAACTTCACATCTATGTGAGACCAGATTTTCTTCATATGCTTCAAGCAGAACAACACATCTTAGCAGATTGAATGCAGAAGCGGATATGAGAATCCAGCCATCTTCTAGTAAGCCAGGTGTTAAAAACATTTGCAAAAACATATCAGACAATGCTGTGCTTCTCACTAAATTTCTTTTTTTAAAAATGTAGTCATTTTTCATCAAACTATGTTATTTTTGTTACCATATGAGATTACTGTTATTTTAAAATTAACTAATATTTTAACATTTTATCAGTTTTAACTTTTAATATGGTAAATATGGATAGATATAACCCACATAAACAAAAGGTCTTTGGGGTCCTCAATAATTCTTTTTTTCTTTTCTTTCTTTCTTTCTTTTTTTTTTTTTTTTGCGAGGCAATTGGGGTTAGGTGACTTGCCCAGGGTCATACAACTAGTAAGTGTCAAATGTCTGGTCTGAGGTCCTCAACATTTCTAAAGAGCATAAAGGAGTCCTGAGACCAAAACATTTGAGAGATGCTGATCTAATCTCACTCCCTTTTTTTTTTAATAGATGAGGAAATTGAGGTCCAGAGAAGTTAAGTATTTGCTCAAGTTAAGTATTAAGTATTAAATGACAAGAACCAGGATTGGTTCTTGATTGAGGATTGAGCCTTGTCTCAAGTTCATTGCTTGTTCTCTTATGCCACTGCTAGGCTCTGTACAAAAAATACACACCATAGAAAAATACTGTTCCTGCCTTCCTCCTTTCTTAAAAAAAAAAAAAATGAAGCTTACCTGTCTGTGTGGGGTGCTTCTGCTAAGGAATGCTCTTGGCACCTTTTCTGCAGTTATGGTCTCAAAGAGTTACCTAGACCAGCACCGAGGGTTGAAATGATTCACCCAGAGTGGCCCTGTGGTGACTTTCTAATTCTTAGACCAATCCTTGATCCACTTTACCCCACTGCGTCTCTTCTAATGATCTTGCCTTCTTTTAAAAGTTTGGTTTTATGAGTTAACATATACAAAGAGCTATTGAACATTATTTTCCCTTTCCTTTTCTTCATCATCCACACCCTGTTTCTAAACAAATGAAAACCCAGCTTAATTACTTCACCTCTCATTCTTAACTCCTAGTCAAGGAAGGGCTAAGAGACCATAAGCAGGAGGTTTTCTGGGAGCTTCATTATAAGGTTTTGAATGAAGGTGGTCTTTGCATCTCCATTAAGACTCCACGGAGGCCTTCATTAGCTATTCCCTGAAGACAATCAGCCAAAGCCCCTATTAGGTGCCATTTGATTCTTGCCCTGCCTTGGACACATCCCAAATGCCAGCTGGGTACTTGGCATTGTTAACACTGGACCCTGGCCCCAGATTACTTTGTATATATTTTGTATTTGAGAGGTAGCATGATGTATTGGATAGAGCCTTAGAGCCAGGAAAACTTGGGTTCAAATCTAGCCTCTAACACATACTATGAGAAAGTCACTTAATCTCTTGATGCTCTAGACAACTCTTAGATTGCAAAAAAAAAAAAGTGCCAATCCACATTGGTAGGGGAAGTTTCCTCATCTGGGTACACCAGTATACACCAGTATACGCCAGTGAAATCACAGATTATTCAGGCAATCCATTGACCAATCTGTAAACATTTATTAAGCACCTATTGTGTTCTGGGCATTTTGCTAAGCACTGGATCCCCTACAACCCTCAGGAGAGTGGTAGTCATTGCCCTCCGGGAACTCAACCATCCAGTGGAGGAAGAGATATAGGAGTAATCCTAGAAGGGGTGCTGTGTATGTGTGTACCTGTATACCTTCCCAATAGATGATAAGCTCCTTGAGGGCAGGACTCTACCCTCCTCCTTTTTTTTTTTTTTTTTGTTCATTGTCAGTCAATAAGCATTTATTAAACCCTTACTATGGGCCAGGTTCTGTGTCATGTGTCAGGAATAAAAGGAAAACAAAACACACAAAACCACCATGGTCCATGCTCTCAAGAACTATACATTCTAATGGAGAGAACATACTAAGTAGGTACCTATGAGATATATACAGACCAGATGAAGGTAATGTGAAAGAAGGCACTCGCAGCAGAGGGGACCCAGAGAAGCCTCCTGCAGAAGGTGGGATTTGAGTGGTCTTCTAAGAAGTCAAGAGAATTCAAAAGTGGAGGTAAAGAGACAGAGAGTTCCAGACTGGGGGACGGCCAGGTGAAAGGAGTACCATGTTTGAAAAAAAATGAAAGTGGGGCAGCATTGCTGGATTGTAGAGTGGGGGAAGGGGAGTAAGGTATAAGAAGGCTGGAAAGGGAGCGGGGGAGTCTTTATGGAGAACTTTTATGAAGGTTATAAAGAGCTTTAAACTTCAAATAGAGCAATTTAAATTAGATCCTAAAGGTAATAGGAGCAACTTTGCTTGCTTGGGAAGACAGGTGATAGGTAATACCTATGCTTTAGAAAAAGTACCTTAAGTGGATAGAGCACCAGCCCTGAAGTCAGGAGGACCTGAGTTCAAATCCGGCCTCAGACCAAACACTTGACACGTACTAGCTGTGTGACCTTGGGCAAGTCACTTACCCCCAATTGCCTCACAAACAAACAAAAAAAAAAGTACCTTAAAAGCTGGGTGGAGGGTGGATTGGAGTGGGGAGAGATGCAAGGCAGGGAGACCAGGTAGAAAGATGTTGGTAGTATCCAGGGAGGGGTGAGGAGAGCCAGAAACATAATGGTGGTTGTGTGAGTGGAGAGAAGGGGATGTATACAAGACATGAGAAGATTTGGCAATGGATTGGATGCGTAAAGTGAGAATGAGGAATCATTGATGATCTCTCAACTGCATCTCCAGCATCTCAGTGCTACAATTAGCATTGAATGAATGAATAAATGAGGTGCTCTGCCCTGCAGGAAACTAAGGGATCTGCATGGGTGACTGGAAATGAAGAGCTGCAGGGGCTGCTGGCCCAGAACCCTCTGGAGATTATAGGATGTAGAGCCAGAGGTACCTTAGAAACCATCCTCATTTCACAGATGAGGAACCTGAAATACAAAAAGTGTTAAGTGGCAGGGCCAGGATCTGCATCCAAGTCTTAGCCATGATTCCAGGTACCAAATAAGTGCTCATGCAGTTCTTTTCCCCTCATCACGATGATACTTCATTGTGACCTGGAGGTGATCTTGGATTTCCAAAGTCTTACCTGGGCATGGGTCCCATCTCCTTACTCAACTGTAACCTCCACGAGGCCAGGGTTGTATCTTCTCTAGACTCGACATCTCTCCTCACAGCACCCCGCACAGAAGAGACACTCAGTAAATGTCTGCTCTGTTTCACTCATTCACAACAGATGCACCTTGGGATTTAATCGCTATGATCTCCACTCAAACATACACAGAGCCCCAGATGTTTATGCAAACAGGTCTTTATTTAAAAATTAGTCTCCCACAGGTGTGCCATCTGATCGCTTGTCATTTCCAACGCCCATATTTGCTGGCTGTGAGCAGAGCATGGTGTACTCTTCTGGGCTCACAGTGTAAGGTGACAGCGCATTCAGAAACTCTGCCAGGGGACACAATCCTGCTGGGCAGCCTCTCACCACTTGTTCCTGGAGGGGAAGGAAAAAGAAGCCAGGAGGTGGACTGAGGCCCATAGAACAACTGCCGCTGTGGATGGCACGGCTCTGAGGGTCCCTAACACTTGGAGGCACAAAGCACATACAGCCAAATGGCAGGACAGCCATGGAACCCCCGACTCCAATATTCCCATGTGCCTGTGTTGTGCTGCCCTTCAGATGCCCAGACTCATGGACGGACCGGGCTCAATGAGGTTCTCTTTCCCCACTCCTCAAGATGCCACCAGTTCCTGGGTCACATAGTATGAAACAATCAAGATGCTAAAGAGATCAGCATAATTGCTCCCTCACCAGCCAAGTCTGTTATTAGTGATCCTCCCAAAGGGCCCAGTGGGACAGAATGTTGCCGTTAACAGGAGGCACACATAGAAGAGGAGGGGTATGTTGGGCCAAGTGTCCCAGAATGCGTTTACAGCAGAACTGAGATGGGAACTGGTGTCACAGGATAGGGTGAGAGCCAGATGGGACTTTTGAAGTAATTAAGTCAAGCCCCGTCATTCTCAGCTTAGAAATATGAGGCCCCGAGAAGCTGAAGTCATACAAGCAAGGGTAGAAAAAGGAGTCAAACTCAGGATCTCTGATCCCAGATTCTGCACCATATTAACTCATCCCTTCCCCCAAGCTGCACCTGAAGCTATGAAGCAGAATTCAGGAGCCTGGCTGCACTCTACCTGTGAACAGATCAAATGCATTGGATGCACTGTGCAGGGGTGAGGAGTGAGCTATAGTGCTGCATGTAGACCCATAAACTGACCAGCCTTAAAGATCCTCCCGAAGAGGACTTACCTTGCCATTGTAAGAAAGTCGAACGAACCAATCCTTGGACTCCTGGTGTTGGTAGAGTTCCATGATCAGGTTTGCAGCATAGGGGGGCCACTTGTGGTCAAAAATCCCCAGTGTTATTAAGAGGGGCATGAGGGTCACGTCATGGGTGGCATAGAGGTAGAGCTTTCTGTAAGAAAGAGTTTCTGAAGAAACCTCTCTGACGTTCCTTACCCAATGACCTTGCAGACAACCAGGGGACTGGATCCCAGCAGAACTCCGTTAAAAGTGCTTCTGATCCAGACCCTGGGGAATCCACTGGAACCCAGGGCCAAGGGTAATAATGAGGAAAGCCACCACCCAGTGGGCTACCCTGGCCCGAGAGGGACTTGAAGGTTTTGGGTGTTCTTTATTCCTGGTCCCTAAAAGCTTGGGCTCCATCTTCCATCACCATGTTCCCAAACTTCTTTTCCTCCCTGTTCTACCCACCCCTCTGCCCCACCCCCAGTTTTGGGTCCCAGGGCTTTACTAGATACCTGGTGTTTCTGGGTGCAGTAGATAAGTTCACTGCTTCTAGCATGTTGTTCTGTAGGGTGTACAGTATGAGGCCAACTGCCATCTGAAGTCCTTCCCTAGGATGGAGGCACGTTCATGATGTCTATACACCTATTGTGCTTAATGTCGTGTGTGTACGTGACTGGGAAATACATAAATATATGGCGTCAACTGCTTTCAAAAGGCTTACACCCTAAAAATCAGACAGGGCCTAGAGACAGAGACTGGCAGTCATTTCAATGATGGAAAAGAATGATAGACACTTTTCCTATTATATGCAGAGGGTCCTTCAAGGTAGTGCTAGCTCCAATCCCGGGAACAAGGGAAAGAGACTTAAGAGTGAGCAGAGGGTAGACCTAGGGAAGAGGAGAAGGTACAGTACAGGCCTGGGCCAAGGCAGTCTGTGAAGAGACGGTGAAGCGTGGAAGGAGGGCTCATTAACTAATAATTTACTGAGTCTACACCAAGGGTTTTGGTCATGGGAGGAAAGCAGAAGATGACGTGGAAGAATGATACCCTGCTCCAAATGATCAACACTGCACAAAGAAATTATAAAAAATAATTCTAAGTCAGTGCACGGGCAAGCATGAAGTGAGCTGACAAGCAGTCCCCGACTTCCTACTGAGGCTCTGGGAACAATCGACTGTGTGATTTCTGAGGTCTCACCAAGATCAAATATTCTAGGAGTCTCAGAAATGGAATCCAGATGTGCTGAAGAGAGGTGGAGTAAAGGCAGGATGACAGAGAGGCAGGAGCCTTTGAGCTGGGTCTTGAAGGTGAAGAAATTGAGGGCTGTGGACAGACAAAGGAGGAAGAGAGAGAAGGACGACGCAGGCCTGGGAGAGGCAAAGGGGTACTTCATGAGCAAAGGTGTGTGGCCAAGTGCAGAGCCCAGACTGGCAAGACCGAAACCACTTTTTAATCTTCTTAAGTGATTGGGGCTGGGGGAACAGAAGTGTACACACTGCTCCCAAAGAGGAGGAAATGCACTGGATTGCTATTATTTTTATGCAGCAGACCATGATGCTTCTTGAAACATTAAATCTTATGCTACTTTCCCCATTCATCTTTCACAGAGCAGCTCCCACTGCCTTCCTGATGACCCACAACCTCAGACTCTTTAGTTGGGGAGACAAGTTAATATTTTTACTGTCAGAAGAGGGGAACTTGCTAATGAGGCTAGCATATATAGGATGACAGGGAGCAACGGGGTAAATCTAATAAGGATAAATGTAAAATCTTATGCTTGGGTTAAAAAAATCAACTGCACTTTGGATGAAAGAGACACAGCGAGACAGCAGCTCACAAGAGGAGGATCTGAGGTTTTGGGCACACCATAGGAGCGGGGTGAGTCATCGGTGGGTCACGGCCACCAAAAAGCTAATTAGATATTAGGGTTCACTGTCACAGGCACCGTGTCCAGAACTAGGGAAGAGATAGGCGAGGCCCCCTCGTCAGTCCACATTTTGATCCCGGTCAGGCCTAGACAACTCATTTTAGGAAGGACACCGACAGAATGTCAAGAAGGTGACCGGCAGCAGATCAGTGGAAGGAACTGTGGCTATCTACCCCAGAGAAGACTTGGCAGTGGGGCAGCAAAGCTGCCCCAACAGGCAGGACTTTGATAGGAAAGAGGCAGAATTAGACCTGTTCTGCTTGGCCCCAGAGGGCTGACCAGGGCACAACTAGGACCAGTGAGGAGAAGCAACAGGGACACATGGAAGGTAACGTGGCATAAAGGGAAAAAAGACTTTAAAAATTAGCATTGCCCCAGAGTGGTCCAGGTCACTTCTGCAGGTAGTGAGTTCCCCGTCTCCAGAGGGCTTCAGGCAGAGGCTGGCTGACCAGTCATGATGGTATAGCAGGGGAATCTCAGACAACTTGAGGTCGCCCCAATTCTGAGGTTCTAAAGACAGACCTCACCCCCGACCCCAATCCCTTCGTGGTCACAAGAACACCCACCTTGTCTCTCAAGGCTTCAAACTAAGAAAGAAAAGTCGCCGAGCAGCAGAAGCTGATAGACCACTGTTTCCCATCATGCCTGACTCTGCAGGCAGCATGCAAATTTGTCAGCCCCAGGGCTGAAGCCCCGGGTCCTAGGGCCTGTCTGTCCCCGCCAGCCAGCACGTCACCAAGATGCAGCAGTCTGCATGAGGGCCAGCTGACAATGGGGCAGGTCTGCTGGGTCACCCTCACTGCCTTCCGGGTCCGAGAATGCTCAAGCAGGGACGCCTTTGGACCAGACATGGAAACAGGAGCCTCACCTGTCTCTGCTCCCCAGGATATAAAGGGCTGTGTCAACAGCTCTCTGCTCAATCATCTGTGTGAATTTCTTTAGCATGGGGCAACTGGGGAGCCCGTGAACCTGAAAGGGCCATGAATTCAGTTAGAAGAAAGCATTCGCTGCCTGGCTCTCTAGGTAGGACCCCACCAAATAAAACCCCAAGAGCTTCTCTGGGCATTCAAGGCCCCCTCCCTGGGCCCCATCTCCTACTCCTCCCAGCCAGACTGAACACTGCTGTTCCCTGAACACACCCAGGTCTTCCTTGACCCTGCTGCCTCCTCTGCTCCGTTATGCTGGCATGGTTTTCTAGTTAATATGATTCTATATAGGCTACAAGGGAGCTCACAGGCCAGCTAGCCTAACCCACCTCATCTTACAGGGGCGGAGCTTGAGTCCTAAGGGGATTAAGCGAGCTCCCCAAAGTCTCAGAGGTATTATGTATCTGAGACAGGATCTGAACTCAGGTTCTCAGCTGGTCCAGCCAGCTCTTTCCACTACACCACACTGTCTCCCACAATTCATACTTCATCAATCTTAGAAAGCAGAATTCAATCAATCAATCAATCAATCAACATTTATAAAGTGACCACTGTATGCCAGGTGCTGTGCTCAGCACTAAAGATCCTCTGGTCCATTTCTTTTATTTATAGACAAGGGGAGGGAGCCGAGGCACACAAAGATTAAGTGTCTTACCAAAAGTCACACAGCGTGTCCAGGACCAGAAACTGAAATCTCCCGGTTCCTCGCCCAGGGCTCTTTACTGTACCATTACCCCCCAGGAATGGCTGAGCTCCAAAACCCAGGGACTCTCCTCCAGCAGCAGGACACTCCTCCCTCCTCTGGCCGCTCCAGGCCAGTCCTGGCAGGCACAGGGGGTCAGGCTCCTTTTCCCCTGAATTCCTTGGGGCGTCTAGCACAGGGCCTTGTACAGGCTGGATCCTCGCTATTTGAGGAATGACAGAATCCACAAATTTCCTGAACCTTCTCAGGGAGCCAGCCAGGCAGCTAATCCACTCGCCCGCTCCTAGGAGAGCTCCCTGTCAGGCACATGGAGGGGAGAGCTACGCAGCCCATATAAGTAGAACTCGGTCCCCCTGCCCTCACAGAGCTTACTTACCAGTAAGGGGATAGGGCGTATACAAAAGCATCACATATTATTCTGTATTGTAGTTAAGTGGATAGAGGGATGGGAGACGAAGGCCTCTGTGAATCTGAGGGGGAAAGATTGCTAAGGGGGCTGGGGAGGAAACTGGGGATAGCTTTATGGGGCTGGGTATGGGCGAGGCCACAAAGATCTATACTTCGGTCATGCCTCTGGAAAAGCAGGAATGAGAAGGTCTAAGACCAGGAGATATAATCTGCCTGGTAACACAGAAGTCATTTTCAGTCACGTCCGACTCTCGGTGACCCCATTTGGGGCTTTCTTGGCCAAGATACTGGTGAGGTTTGCTATTCTCTTGTCCAGTAGATTAAGGCCAACAGAGGTTAAGTGACTTGCCCAGGGTCACACAGCTAGTGTTTGAGGCTGAATTTGAACTCAGGTCTTGCTAATTCCAGGCCTGGCACTCTATCCACTCACTATACCACCTACTTGCCCTACACAGAAGAGCTAGATGCAAGAAATCTAGTCTTGCTTCATTTTTTGTTAGTTTGATCTGGGTGCCAACTTTGTTTCAGCTCTAAAATGTCTGTACATGTTTTTCCTATGCTCTGTTTTGAGTGAGCAGGGTGGGACAGGGCTATAAAATTTCTCCATCTTAATCTCTATAGGAATAATTCCCTTAGGGCAGTGGATGCCAAGAAAAAGAGGAACGCTACTTATTTCCTAATGAAGGGACAGAGGCCTACAGAAGGGAGGGGCTGGAAGGCAGGTCCCGGATCTCTGGACAGGCCTAGAGAGGTCTGGCCTCAACCCTAAGATCACATGGCTTTTAGTTCCGTTCTACCTACACTGGCTCCTGTCCCATGCCCATACACATGCCTGGCCCAAAGTCCTTCCCTTTTCCCTCTCCTGAAGTCAGGGGACTGGGGCTGCTTGGAATCCTGGCTCCAGCACTGACTTTTCAGGGTGACCGGCTGTAAGCTCCCTGAGGGCAGACGCTGCTTCATTTCGGTTCCCATACCCCTAGTGCCCATTGCTGTGCCTGTCATATAGCGAACACTGAACCGCTGCTCGTTGATTGACTGATGGGGAGGATAAAACATACTTGAGATGTTGGAATCGCCGTGTCCCAGGCCTGTGGTTCCTCTGAGGATGGTGCTTTGTCCAAACATTAGAGCAATACTGAACTATGGGGCATTAGGACATGCGGGCACATGTGTCACAGTCACAGTAAAGCATTAGCCCCAGGTCAGTGCAGGGAAAGGACAATGGCCTGGGAGTTGGGGGGCCAGGTTCTGCCTACGACTCCTTAGCCTCCCTGGGCTTCTGTTTCCTTGTCTGCAAAGCGGAGATCTGACTCCATTTCTATAGTTTAAGTAGTAAAAGTCAAGTCTGAGACCCAAACTCCTTCACGTGTCTCCTTAGCACTAAACCAATGTCGAGGGTGTACTGGTCACACTACGTCTGACCAGAGGATGGGAAGAACTGGGTGTCACATTTTAAAAGGGATTCCCTGAAATGTGTCCCAAGAAAAATCACGATCGTGAGGTCTTTAAAACCAAATCAGATGTGAGATGGTTGAAGAATTTTCTATAAATTAGAATTAAATGGTGCTCTGTAAAATTACTGGAAATATGTAAGGAGAGGTTAGTGGACGCCCTGTCAGGGATCCTGTAAAGGAGATCCCTGCAATGGGCCTTGGAGGTTCCTTCCAAATCTGAGATTTTGTAATTCCGGGGAAGGAGTGATTCCCGGGGGAAGGCTGCACTCACCTTCTCTGCTAACGCATTGTCTAACAGAACGAAGAAGTCCACGTCTTTGCTCCCATCTATGCCCATCTCTTCCTGTATCTTTTTCAAATCCTCTGAGATCCCAGGCTGCAGAGAGGCCGACAGCTTCCTGACCCTACAGAGGAAAAAAAGCAGAGCCATCATGCCTTCTCCCATGTTACCCACCAAGGGAAGGGAATAACCAGTCACTCACTATGAGGCCCCATCCCCTGCATGGCACAGGGCAGGAGTGGTGGCTGAGCTGCCATTACTAGAGTGAACAGGTGAGAACAAGTGGGAAGAACCTGGAATTTAGAGCCTGAGAAGCACTGGGTCCCAATTCTGGCTCCACCTTCTCACCACCTCTGGCCCCATCGCTGCTCGGAGCCTTAGGGTTCTCCTTTGTAACATGGGGGTGGTGCTGGTGGAGCAGGGGAGCTCCAAGCCCCATCTCGGCCCACGGGACAATGCTGGACTGAGAGTCAGGACAGCAAGGCTCCAGTCTAGGCTCCATTCCTACCTTGTGTAACCCTCCGTGCCTCAATCTCCTGCTCTGTGAACCAGGGACATCAAGATTTCCACCCTGTGCCAGAGTATTTCCAAGACTAAATGAGAGGATGCAGGGCAAACTTTAAAAAGAAATCTATACAAAGCGCTATACAAGGCAGCATCACCACCACCACCACCACCACCATTACACCTGGATGGCACTTGCCAATTTTCAGATAGCTTTCATGTACATAATCTCACATGATCTTCAAAAAGACCCTTTGACGTGGAAAAAAAGGTTGTGATCCCTTTGGCTGACAAGGGAACTGAGGTTCAAAGAGAGATGAAGTAATTTCTACAAGGTCCTTCAGTGGCAAGGCCAGGACTAGAACCCAGATCTCTCATACTCAGCAACTCTTTCTACTTTACTGCACTGACTCAGACAGCTAGGCCAACCTTAGGTTTCTTTTCAAATGGGACCTATGGCAAGTCCATAAATAATCCCCGAGGAAGAGGTGTACAGTATATTGTAAAAAGTAATGGATTCAGAGGCACAGCAGTCCGGGTTGAAGTCATGGCTCTAGCACTCAATAAGGCATTCAGCAAAGGGTATTCAGACAGGGCCCTGGACTTTGGGTCAGGGAGCCCTGGGTTCAAATCCCCACCTCAGACGTGACCTTAGATGAGTCACTTTACCCCTGTGGAAGGAGAAGGTTAGACTGGACCTCTGAGGTATCTTCCCATTCTAAATCTGCGATCCTATGTCTGAGTATCTGGGTGACTGTGGAGGCCTTCCTAAACCTCAGTTTTCTCATTCAATTCAATACTCACTTTAGTAAATGGTAACTAAGAGCCAGGTACCATACTATGCACTGGGGACAGAAAAGGCAAAAATGAAAATGCCCCTGTCTTCCAGGTGACACGGGGACAATAATAACCATCTAGCCTACCTCATAGCTCACATGGGATAAGTAGACATGAAACTATTTTTTAACTAAAAAATGAGAGGCAGTGTGGTGTACAGAGCACTGGACTTGGGAATCAGGACGACCTGAATTCAAATCCCAACTCAGATGGTTACCAGCTGCATGACCCTGGGTAAGTCATTTGACTCCTCTGGGTCTCAGTTTCCTTATCTGTAAAAAAGGGGTTAGACTCAATAACATAAAAGTTCCCTTCCAACACTGGGTCTATGAGCCCATGACCCAATGACCTAAGCTGTTATTATTCTGTACAATTTCTGTGGTTTTTGGCCTTGTAAACAATTTCCACATGAGGAGAAAGCGCCACCAGACCATACCACTTTCTCCCATGATAGAAACAAAATGGTTCGAGATCCTCTTCGACTCTCCCCTCCCCCTACGTCCCAACAACAGGCCTTGCTTCTGGTCAGCTATACTGCAGCCATCCCAGTTCAGGCCCTCTTCTCTGCTGGACCAAAGACGGTTTAGTGTTGTGACATGGTCTCGAGACGTGAAAGTCCTGGGTTTGAATTCCAGCTCTGTAAGAACCCTGGGCAAGACATTCACCCTCTCTGATACCGTGTCTTCATTGTAACGTGGGGATGGTACCCATATGGAATATACAACTATGTAATATAACTGCCTCACAGAATTAAGGAAACTCTCGATAAACCTTACAAGCACTGGAGAAACATGAGTCACTGTCATTAAACTCTTTTAATAGCCTTGAAGGAGAGCCCGTAACAGAGAGAAAGCTGGCCTTGAAGCCAGGAAGACCTGGGGTCAAGTCCAGGCTCTGAGTGACCAGATCGTGTGGCCTGGGGCAATGACTTACCCACTGAGCACTCTAAGTAGCTCTCGAAGGCCACAAATGACAAAGAGGTGAGAGCCTGCCCTAACGGAGGGGGCTTCCTTACTCAGGAAATCAGAGGTCCGGTCTCTATTGCTAGCAGTCTTCTCGCTGGGTTTCCTGCCTCAATTTAATCCCTCTCCTCCATCTCACTGCCTGAGTAATCTCCCCAATGTGATTCTATGACTGTGCCTCACTTCTGCTCTGAAATCCTTGCCCCCCAAATAAAGGAGCCCCTTGTGCTGCTCCTGGCATTCAAGGCATTTCCCGATATGACCAGCCTTCTCTTGCAGCACCCCCCTTATTGTTCTCCATGTGGCCCGTCTGCTCTGTTCCCCATCAGGAGCTTGCCTGCGCTCATTCCTAGGGCTGGGCTCACACAGCTCCGCCATTTCTATCATCTCAAGGTCCTCCCTTCCATGAAGCCTTTCCTGATCCTCCCCAGGCAAACTCAATTAGATTTGACAATTGTTGATTAAAGTGACCTCTCCATCAAATTCTTCAGAGCATTGCGTCCGGACTGCTCCTTTCTATTTCTTCCACTAAGTCTTGTGTCCTAGGTATTTGCATACTTTCCCTACTGCTCCATGCTTCAGAAGCATAAGATCCTTAAAAGTATGGCCTGTGCCCTCTTATCTCTGCATCACTGCAGGAGCAGTTAATGCACTGTTGGAACCGAAAACTGACAAAGGATCTGGATTCCAATTCAGCCTTTCTCACTATCTATGGCCAACACTGGCCAAGTCCCTTCATCTCTCAAGGCTTCTGTTTCCCGGGTCAGGTGATCTCTAAGATCCCTTTCACAGGTTCTATGATCCCATGATCCTTTTCTACCCGTCTGGCAAGAGAAGTTTCTTGGCTCTCGTACAACTCTTTCTAAAGCTATTGGGACCCCTATTCCCCATCAAGTGGGCAACAGTCCCTTTACAAACTTTCTACGTGAATTCCCTCACCTCGTATAAACCTAAGAGATTTTCTACTGCTCCTGATCAGGAAGCTAGCCCTTGTCTACCCATAGGCATGAGACACCCAACCAGATTTTTATATAATTAATTATACATACACATACACACAGTTCTATAGGTATGGGCATTTGATATCTATATATAGGTATATGATGATACACATATACATGTATACATTAAATATGTTAAAATAAATATACAAAAACATATAATGCACATATATACATACACATACCTACAAGTATGGTTATTTGATATATACATATATGTGTGTATAGTATTATATACACGTACATTTATACATTAGATATGTATAAATAAAAACATATACACACATATACATATACACACACACACACACATATATCTTCTAATAGAACATAAGCTCTTTGAAGACAGGGAATATTTCATTTTTGTCTCTATATTCGTAGCACAACGCCTGGCATGGGTAAACATTTCATAAATATCTGTTGATTCATTAACCAACACTGAGTGATGGGAAGATTGGAGGAAGGCAGCGTTCTTTTAGTAGGGGACACTTCGGAGGGAGTAAAAACCCTGGGGGTGTGAGGGGGCAGTTACCTGACCATCTGTCTCAGGGAGTGGCAGTTTTGGTAGTTGGGGTACAGGATTTCAGAGTCTGCTTCATCAGTGAGGATGGTGACTGGACCTAGGGGAACAGGCAGGAGATTTCAGCATCACGTCTTCCCATCTTGCCCAGGAGCATTCTCATCCATTTAGCGGCCTGTCTCTTGCAGTCTGAACAACCTCCTTTTCTCCCAAGGGGTCCAGGTAGAAGACTGCTCCCACACTAGACAGAATTGCCTGAATCCGCATCCCACGCAAACAGGACCTAGCTGTGCCAACCTAACAAGAGAAAGGAAATCACAGCTGCCCAGTACATCTCACCCACTGTGAGTCACTTTGGGCAAACTGACCAATCATGTCCCTAGGACTGGAGCGGAACCCAGAAAGGACAAGCATCACTATGGCAGAAAGAGCCCTGGACTTGGCACTGGCATCATGAGGTTCAAGGAGGTTTGTGACTGTGGGCAAACCACAGGGCTCTTCGTGTAAAATGACACATTATACCATGAAGTGCTACACAGACATGGGTTACTATCTGTTCATTCCATGTTCTTAGGGGGCAAAAATCAGTCACCAGCTCTTCTGAGTTGCAAGGGCATCAACTCTAGTCTCCCCCTGACTCTGCGGCATCAACATCTGCTCTGCTTTCTGCAGACCACAAGCAAACAAAGCCTACTGAGCCGCGTGATCCCTAATAGCTACAAGGCACATCAGATTCCTGAGCCACACTAGGGAAACAGAAGTTGTGACTCATTCAAAGATGGTAACTCTCGGCACAAGAACATCACACATTTTTGACAGCAGCTACTGTCCAATCATAGCGTGGACAGGTCCTATTGTCAATGACTAAAGGCTATACACCCTACCACCTTCCAGTCCGTCTGCACTGTGCAGGGAGAAGACAGGGTGGTGTACGGAAGGAAGAGAAAGTGGGAGGTGCCCACACCACCCAAGCACAAGCCTCACCAAATGGCAGAGGAAAGAGCCGGAGGGCAACAAAGCTAAGCCACAGAAAGGAAGCCTTTCAGAATGAATGAAGGAACACTAATGAGGGGCTTACTCACTGGGGACACAAATGGAAAAGCAGGACAGGCCTGGCTGCGATCACCATATTGACATTTTGTCTCTTGTACTGGTAACTCTAAGCCCATAACCAAGACTTTTGGGAGCTTCTTGGCATTTATCACATAATGAAACCAACCCAGCTACGACAGGAAGAGCACTGGCTCCCCAACATGGAACCTGGGGTCAATCGTGGGCTGAGGAGGCCTCTGGCGAGAACAATCCCTCCCAGCCCCAACCATGCTTCTAGCACTTCTGAGAAGAAGTTATTTATGTATTAAAAACAGGAGTAAATACCAAGCTACACTCTAGTAGCAACCCCCGCTGAAGACACGTCATCTTGAAAGGAAGTAGGCTACAGCAGAAGCGGTGTTGGGTTTGGAGTCAGCTGTCCTGTGATCTTGGGCAAGTAACTTAAACTCCACCCTGTCCCTCAAGCTTCTTGACCGTTGTATCCTTAGCAGTGTCTGGCATCTAAGTGACTAACAAATGCTTTCTCATTGCTCAATCCAGGTCATGGCAACTGTTATGTACCAGCTTTCTTTCTAAAGGGCCCCAGCTCCTGGCCAACCATCTTTTCCTCAACTCCCACCCTGATACTGGGGGCTTCAACATTTCCTTAATTTTAACAATACATGATGACTAATATTAATAACTGCCACTCATATTGCGCTTTGCACACATTACCTCCTTTGACAATAGCTGCTACTAGGGGCAGCTAGGTGGCGCAGTGGATAGAACACCGGGTGTGCAGTCAGGAGGACCTGAGTTCAAATCTGGCCTCAGACACTTAATACTTCCTAGCTGTGTGACTCTGGGCAAGTCACTTAACCCCAATTGCCTCACTAAAAAAAAACAAAAAACAAAAAACAAAAAAACCCAAACAAACAAACAAAAAAAGACAATAGCTGCTACCTCCCCCTGTTAGGATGTAAGCTTCTTGTGAGTAGTGATCATTTCATTCTTCTTATCTATATCCTCAGTGCCTGGTATACAGTAGGCACTTAATAGTGTTTGTCGATTTACTGAATAAGAGTCCTTGCTATAAAATCATCCAGGCTCCATTTGAAGACCACTCCCACCTCCACCTCCCATCATTAAGGGGTCTTGAGTCAGCTCATTCCACTCTTGGACAGGTCAGATTTGATAGAAGCCAACCCCTGCCTTTCTCCAACTTGTGCCTTAGCTTCGTTCTGTCCTCTGGGGCCAAGGACAGGTCTAATTTTCCTTTATGGAACAGCCCTTCCAGGTTTAGAGGGGCCCTGAAAAGTGAGGGGCACATCCAGAAGCTGGTCGCTAAGATGGCAAACAGACCAATGCCACGTGAGGATCAAATGGAAGAAATGGGGATGTTTAGCCAAAAGACACAATTAGCCACCTTCAGTTATACAAAGAGCCATCATGCCTCAGAGTGATTAGCCTTGCTTTGCATGACCCAAGGAGGCAGAAGCAGGACAAGTTTCAGCCCCATAGAAAAGAAAATACATTCATAACTAGGACTGCCTGTGGAGGTCATGAATTCCCCATCCCAAAAGGCCTTCGGGCACAGATTCCAGACAGTCACTTGTCAGAACATGTTATCCAGGGATTCCTGGTCAAGTCTCGTCCATTAAGGACCTCTGGTATCCTTTTCAGTGCTGCCATTCTATGACGAGCGGCTATGGCATGTAGGTTTACCTCCTAGCCAGGGAGTAACAGGGCATCAGAATCCTGGACCCAGAGATGAAAGGTTCTACCCCTTCTACCATATTTCATCTGAGTTTAAACTTAATTTCATTATCATTTCGTTCACATAAACAACACTCCAGGAACCGTCATCCCCTGGGGAAGAATTAAGAGAAGACACAGGTTTTGCTCGATAGGCCCATCTGGTACACAATTAGGCCTATCCAAAGCCAAGGCAGCCACTGTAGGCCCGATTCCATCCAGGCCAGCTGAGCCATCTCTCCCATCCTCTGTACCCTTCCCCATGCGGGGCTTTCCCTCATGCAGGGTGATTTGTGCGATGACTGCTGAAGACTGAGGGCAGACGACCCTAGGAGGGAAACACTGCCAGGCAACACAGAGGATGTCAGCCAAAGAGCAGCGTTCCCTGGACTCCAAGCACAGGGGAAGGGGGAGGATGTGAAAGTAAAGCAGAGGGTTTTGTGAGCTTGAAAAACAGGATGTTCAGTGGCTAAGAGCCTGGGGCCAAGACTCTAACCTTCTTTCTGGTGTTGGAAAAGTCCAGCAAGCAAACACCGGGTTGATTCCAGATTCCGAAATATGTTAGTAGAACGAGCACTGAGGGAAAAAAAAGCCTCTTAAGCGGAGTGTGAAAGTAGGAAGACCTACTTATTTCTTGGCAGGATGACTGCATCGAGAGAAACACTTAAGGTCAACTGGAGCCTCATTTTCAATGGACTGTCTTCCCTAACACGGATCACATCCCACAGGACCACAAAACACATCCTCCCCGTAAGCCCTTTGAGATTAGTTAGGGGATGGCAATGGAAGATGAATACTGAGTGTCCTACCATATAGGGAAGGGGAGGGTTAGGGGCCAGAGGGGGTCTCACGGGCTTAAGACCTCTAGAAAGGCACAACTTTACAAGGGACTCATGTGACCTCTCTAGAAAGGCACAACTTTACAAGGGACTCACGTGACCTCCAGCGGATTGAACGTCGGGGAGAGGAAGTGGATGTCTTCTACATAGTTCCTTCTCAGCCTCTCTCCCAGGGCAAACATTTGCTGCATTCCCACTTTGGTCAGTTGTCCTGCAAACACGCCACCCTGGTGCAAAGAGAGGATGGGGGGAGAGAGAAGGGAAGAAAGGAGATGGAGGAGGGACAGAGTCCCCATAACAACCCACTGAGACCTTGGCCAGCACAAAAGACTCGGGAGCTTATCCCAGGCAGAGCTAGGAAATGTGGCTCACCTTCAGCTTGGTCTGTTGGTATTCACTGTCATAGGGAGAGGGAGGTCTGGGTCCACCAGCAAGATTAGTTACTACGTAATCAAACAGAGTTTTGGCGGGGATCTCCAACAGGGTGGGATTCCACTCTACCTGTCATAATAACAAAACCGAGATGCTATGAAAAGGACTGCTTAAAAGCTTGTCAGACATGATATCCAGGGATTCCTGGTCAAGCCTCTCCCATTAAGGACCTCTGGTATCCTTTTCAGTGCTGCCATTCTATGACGAGCGGCTATGGCATGTAGGTTTACCTCCTAGCCAGGGAGTAACAGGGCATCAGAATCCTGGACCCAGAGATGAAAGGTTCTACCCCTTCTACCATATTTCATCTGAGTTTAAACTTAATTTCATTATCATTTCGTTCACATAAACAACACTCCAGGAACCGTCATCCCCTGGGGAAGAATTAAGAGAAGACACAGGTCTTCCAATTAACTCTAAGCACTCAAGAGGGACTGTCTCATCTGTTACCACGACCCCTGGGAAGGAGGAAGAGGAGGTTCTAGATAAAGAAAATTTGAGGCACAGACAGGAAGCCTCTGGTAGCACTGAGGACTTCGTCCAGGCCTCCCAACTATAAGTTGTTCTTGACTGACTAGATTTCACTGTGACAGTGAGGCACCTAAGGAGAGACAGCAGGTAGCACTTTCAGGCAAGTCAAAACTCCAGCCAACACCACAGCCAGCACCAGCCCCTCAGACCCGGATGGAGAGAGCCCAGCACCCCGAACCCAAGAGTCTTGAGAGGAGCAAAAGTCCTGCTTTCAGCCTGGGCCACAGAGTCAAGGGGCGCTAGCCACCAACACCAGCCACTGACCAACTGCCAATGGGAGGAAACAAGCATTTACCAGGTGCTGACTATGTGCCACGCACCATGCTAAGCACTTTGTTGGTTATTCGGTCATTTTAGTCATGTCCGACTCTTCGTGACCCCATTTGGGGTTTTCTTGGCAAGGACACTAGAGTGGTTTGTCATTTCCTTCTCTAGCTCATTTTACTCATGAGGAAACTGAGGCAAACAGGGTGAAGTGACTTGACCAGGGTCACACAGCTAGGCAGTGTCTAAGGAGGAGTCCTAGCACTCTATCCACTAAGCCATCTAGCTAAACACTTTAAAAATGTTATTTCCCTGATTCTCATAATGAACCGGGTGCTGTTATTATCCTCATTTTAGAGTTGAGGAAAGTGAGGCAGGCAAGGGTTAAGTGATCAGCCTAAGATCACTGAGCTAGTGTCTGAGGCTGGATTTGAATTCAGACCCAGCTCTCTATTATCTACCTTGCCACCTAGATGCAGGTAAGCCCACCAGCCCCTGGAGCAGCAGCACCTCCAGACCACTGGTCCTGCTTCCAGCCCCCATATTCATCATTACCGGAAGCAACCGCTTTTGTGACAGCCTCTAGAGTCCCTGACACCGTCCGACGGATCGACATTAGAAATGGATATGACTTTATCAGCAGAAATGACAGTAAAGAAGATTCATCCCTGTCTACGTTGCCAATGACCCTAAGGACCATGGTGTCTTTCCACCTGACTCCGGCTGAAACCTCCTATACTTGTTTTCTGCCTGTCAGCAGGTGAGCTCCCTCAGGGTTGGGCCGGGTGGTTGTTTTTCTGTTTGTAACTCCAGCGTTTAGCACAGCATTTTGCACATGGTGAGCCCTTAAACGCCTTTTCCCTCATTCATTCATTTTCACTCATTCGTTCACAAATAGCTGTGCAAGTTTAGGGGAGTCACTTCATTTCTGTGTGACTCAGTTTCATGGAGGTTGGACTGGAAGACCCCGAGGTCCTTTCCAGTCTAAAGCTATGACCCTGTTAGTTACAGAATGAAGCCACCAAGGAGTGGGGCGAGCACTTTTAATTATCTCCAAATTTCCACTGGGGAATCCTGAGGATGTCTCACTAACAAGCACAACTTGAGAAAAGATGGAGTACAATACACGGTACAAAGGCTGGATTTGGATTAGAATATCGGTGGTGCTGTGCTGGCTACCTGCTGTGCTCTGGGACTCCGGTTCCTCACCCTTTACCCTAAGCCTGAAGCCCCTTCCTGCCCCAAGGGCACCACAGTGGCTGCCACAGCAGGGGCCGCTCCTCACCTTTCTTTCTCTTGGTCCAGCTTCTTGAACAAGTGGTCTCCATCTGTGGCTCACTACCTAGTCCTTCTTTAATCCTCTAGACTCTGTTTCCTGTCCCTCTTCACTTAAAGATGACCGATGGCCATCCCCTCCTAGACAAACCCAACAGCCCTTCTCTCCTCCACCTTCCTTTCTCATTCTCCTTAAACCCTCAGCATCCTTCGGCACGATGTGTCACCCCTCTCTTCCTCGATTACTGCGATAGGACCCCATTCTATTTCTCTTCCGTCTCTGACCAGATCTTTTCCACTCTCACCCGCTTCTCAAAGGCCAATAGTTTTTGGGCCTATGTTTTGTTCTCCTGTGTTGTCTCTGTCCCTTGGAGAATGAATCTATTTTTACAGCTTTAACAACCACCTCCGTGCAGATAGTTCCCAAAATTCCTATTTCCAGAACTGTCCTCTAACTCCAGCTTCCTTGACTCATTCATTTAACATACCCACATTCCCAGCACAGGGCTAAGCACTCTGGGAGATACAAGGGATAAAAGGTGACCTTTACTCTCAAGGAACTTACAATAGAGTGACCTACATCCCGATGGAGACATAGATGCGGAATGGGGCGTGCATTCTGTGGACTTGGTCACTCCCGTTCGTTTAACTATACATATTTGTTCTAAGCACTTTGTTTTTGCTTTTTTTGAGTAGGGAGAGAAGTGAGAAGGGGAGAAAATTAATTCTGGTTAATTGAAAAAAAAAACTAGCTAGGAACACAAAATCATGCAAAAATGAAACAGGAAATGAGTCAAATAACCATATTTGTCAAATAGCTGTGGACTCAGAGGATCTGGTTTGGAATCCTTATTCTGTTACTTTCTGCCCATGTGAGTTTAGGTGAGTCACCGATCACATCTAGGACCTCATTTCCTCATCTGTAAAATGGGAAGGGGGTATTCTACATGATCTCCAAGGTCCATTCCATATGTAACTCAGTACAAAATGAGTAGTGAAGGCATAACTGTGAGTGGTGAAAGGGAAAAGCTTGCTGGTCAAGGTTAGTAAGCGACTTTGGCATTGAAGAATACAGCAGGAATTAACAGGTAAAAAGCAGAAGGACATTCTAAGTGGATGGGACATAGAGTAAAGGGACAAAGGTGGGAATGACCATATGGTATTGAGAGGGCAGCAAATAGTGAAGTCTGGCTGGAGTTGATGGGTTTAGTTAGAATAGTGGCAGATACTTGAAGTCAGACCATGGCACTGCAGACTTGCCTATGAGACATATCCACTTGCTTGCTATCCTATCCCCTCATTTAGCACGTCCAAAACCAAACCTTCAACTTACTCCACCAACCAGGTCCCCTGCCCAATGGCATTATCAGTCACTCAGGCTCAAAATCTTGAAATTATCTTAAGACTCATCCCTTACCATTATCTCTAGAATCCACTTCAATAACCTTGTCTTGTCAGTTTTTCCCTTGAAATATATCTTAAACCCATTTCTTCCTTTCCATTCCCATTACAAACCCCTTGACTCATCTTCCCATCAAATGGCTTTCCTAACTCTGCTCCCCTAGAGATTTTTTTGTCCAGTGACCACAGGGTGTACTTCCAAAACCAGCTTGGTAGAGAATTGAGAAGGTAGAATGGAAAGAAATCAATGGAGAAGCAGCACTGGATAGGAATCAGGAGTCTGGGGTCCTAGTCTGGGTAACCTTGGGGCAAATTACTAGATGGCACAGAAAGTGAATGTCCTTCATCCCTCCCTTATCCAAGCCATAACTCTCTTGGAAACTAGCTGTGGTATCTAGTGCCTAAAGACAGAATTGTACTATAAGCTAATGTTACTCAGATGTCAATTTCAATCAGAACAATCCCAAATGGTTATTGGGCATCCACAACCATGGTGCCACACTATGGCCCTTCCCTCCAAGTGAAACTCACATAGCTCTTCGTTCTCCTCTATCAGGAAGAGACAGGCATATGTGCATAGCCACATAAAGATCATTAAGAATTAGAGTCATAGGGCAGTGTGATACAATGGAAAGAACACTGGCTCTGGAACAAATCTGCCCTCTAACACTACCTGTAACCTTGAGCAAGTTACTTAATCTGTAAAAATCAGTGCTTTGGACCCGATGATTTCCAAGATCTCTTACCTTGATGAGTTTGATCATATTGATGAATTTGAGGTTATCGGTAGGAATGCCAGATGGAGATATTCAAAAAAGTTAGAGATGTTGCATTAGAGTCTAGGAAGGTAAAAGGGACCCCAGGCCAATTCTCTGCCTTAACACAAGCTGTATGACATATATAAAACTCTCTTAATCTCAGTTTCCTTTTCTGTAAAAGGGGGTTGGGCTAGACAACTTCCAGAAGTCTTTCCCAAATCTGTAATTCTAATTATGTGTGTGTACGTGGGCATACACACACACACACACACACACACACACCACCCCTATAAATTCTACTCTAAGGGATGTGCCGCCTTTATCAGAATGTTTGCTTCTCAGGGCAACAGGCCCAGTTACCTTGCTTCATACAGTGCACTCTGAAGGATCACCCACAGTCCAGATCACAACCCCTCTTCACCTTCCTCCAAATCACCCAAGGGCAAGTCTCTAGGACTCTCAGAAGGAAAAGCAAAGAAAAACAGAAGCAGCAGAAAAACAAAGCAGATGAACTAATTCACCTGGAATGGTTCTTCTCAGGGCTGTTTGCTTTTACTGGAAGGAAAATACTTAAAAAGAGCTCTGAAGAGAGCTTTGGCAGGTTTGAAATACTAGAATCCATCTATCCAGGAAAGGGTGGTACAGAGGATGGCAATTTGGTCTCACAAGCCAGTGGAGGACAACATGCTTTATTTTTCAGATGCTAGACCATCCCCAGGGCCCTGCCTCAATGCTAAGCTGGAGAGAAAACTCTGAGGTATAAAAACAACACTGAAAAGTTCCACCAATCCAAAAAACATGTCAAAGCTGCTCAAAGGGGTCCAGAGAATTTCTGGTGCATCCCCAGAAAATTGGCGATTACCCAGAACACAAGTCTCTCAACTCTAAGCATGTTTCCTCTGATAATGAAAATCTTTGTCATCTGTACGGGGTTTTATAGTTTGAAGTATCTTTACATTGATCTCTGAGCTGTACTTCACAATAACCTTGTTAAGCAGGCAATACAAAGTGTTTATTATCCCCAGGCTGTCTGCTAATGAAGAAAATGATTCCTAGAGATTGCTATTTGGTCTATAATTAGCCAAGCAAGCTCTCAGTTTTTATAAAATTGTTGAGTTTTAAAATCACCAATCCTTTAAAAATGTCTTTACTTTCTTCAAGTTTTTTTTTAACTGATTGGTGATTTCATTGTTATTGGGAATTGCGAGCTGATGAAACTCCCTCCAGCACAGCCGGGCTCTGACAGTTTAAATGACTTGGCCAGAATTACACAACACGTGTGTACCCGCGCGCACTTGAACCCAGGTCTGTCCCGTTTCTGAAGCCACGCCTATCCACCAAGCCACGGTGCTTTCTGTTCTTACTTTCTAATGTCAGTTCCTATTCATCATCCTTCCAATAAACCAAATCCAAAGGTCTTTTCTGTCCTTCTCCTCCAGCTCTCTGAAGCATGCCACTCCCTCCTTTACTAAACCTTTTCCAGGTTTTTCTGCCTTCCTGACTGCGACTCTTCTTACTCTGCTCCCATCCCTTGAACAGAAGCAAATGCCCCAAGGCTCATTTCTTGTCCTTCACACCTGGTTTCATACACAGATTCAGTTACAAATTTTGGAGGGTGACTCCCAAATCCCTCGCTATCCTGTCCTAGAACTTGACTGCATTTCTCACTTTTTAGGAGCTCTCCATCTGGAAATCCCACTGCAACTTCAAACTCATCAATTTCAAAAGTCCATGGCACACCCCTGTCCCTCAAACTTGCCCCTTCCTCAACTTATTTAGATCTGTGGCTGATACCATCATTTGGTCCCAAAAGCTTATTACCTTAGAGTAATTTCATAATCTGCCTCCCCCTCAAATCCATCAGTTGGCAAATCCCACCAGTTTTGGCTCTGCAATACCTCCAGCACTCACCCTTATTCCTTTCTACTCCCACCAGATGCAGCCTCATTTTTCCTCACCTGGAGAAGCCTCTTCATTGCTATTCCCATTTCCAATACATCCCCTTCCCCAATCTCTTCTTCACACTGCTGTCTGAATGAATAATACACCTTTCTAACGCACCTCCTGGATGTCAACCCTCTCTTCAAAAAATTTCAGTGCTTCTCCCTATTAAAGTCAAAGCTTGTGATCTCGGCCTTTAAGGTGTTTCACTGATTCCAACTCACGTTACCAGCCTTATTTCATAAGGCTACTTCCCCTTTGCATTCTCATGCTTTGCTCATAATACCTCCTCTCCACCCCGTCCCATCCAACCCTTCTGCAAAAGTCGTCTCTGGATCCGCAAATGACTCACAGCAACTTTGGACATCTCCATCAGTTATTCAGTTGTGTTCTCACCGAACTTGGACTTCTTCCCTTCATTTCATTAAAGTAAGAGATCATTTGTCAATAGGTCAACCACATCTTATCTACCTTTGTATCCCTCAGCTAGCTCTAGTGTTTTGTAGGAATTAGGATCATAGGATCCCACACCTAGGAAGAGGCCTGCAAAACCTTCTAATCCAACTCTCTCATTTTACAGGTGAGGAAACTGAGGCCCAGAGAGGTTTTAAATGCCCTGCCCAAAACATCAGAGATGGGATTATAATCTAGGTCTTTTCCCTATTTTACCACATTGTCTTCCCTGGATACTTAATTTAAAGCATTATTTGCTGACTTGAATTAAGCTGCGTAGGAAATGGAAAGCAAGGTGGGGGTGAGGGGGAGAGAGATGGATGCGGAAAAGCTTTGCTGGATATCAAGAAACACCGCTGGGACGTTCTTAGCCAGCAAGTTCGGGGAGGCGGCCTCTTTCACTTGCGTGGCAAACACCACTTAAACCCACAGTCCCCGGGCCACTGGCGGTTGCCCAGGTTCCGGGGATCAAGCATGCACAGACTTGCAAGGATCTTGCCAAGCGCACCTGGACGCCCCAGCGGGGCTCCGGGGAGCAGCCCAGCCGATCCGCGTCCCTTTCGCAGGTCCGGCCGTCGGAGGGGACGGAAGGCACCTGCGAGTGAGCGCCCGGGCACTGCCCCCCGGCCGCCGCCCCCCTCACCTGCTCGGCCTGCGGGAGCTGCTTGAGGGGCGTCCGCGCCCCGTGACGGAACACCACCTGCACCATCTTCAGCTGCAGCTGCTTGGGGTCGGTGGCCGGCGGCCCTCGGTCAGCACGCAGCTCGGCCAGGGCCACCTTGCGCTGGTGAAGGCAATAGGCCAGCGAGGTGAGGACGCCCACGGGCGCCCAGACGCGCATGCTGAAGAGCCTGGACAGCATGGTGTCCACGCCCCGAGGCAGGCGAGCGCGGGGCTCACCCGCCGGACGGTGCGCGGGGGCTCAGCGGCCACCAGCAGCGGCGGCTCAGGCGAGCGCCGGCATTCAGCCCGGGGCCCCCGCTCCGGACACTCGCTGCCCTCCGGGGACCGACGACCGAGCCGCGTAGGAGGCTCCCCTGCTCCGGGCGTACGCTCCCCCGGCCGGTCCTCCCCGTCCAACTGCCTGGGTGCGCCGGCTCCCGACGACGGCCAGGAGAGCCCGAGAGCACAAACTCCCGTCCTGCCCAGAGCCGTTCAGCGAGCGGACGGTCGCCGGGTTCCCGGGACAGCCCTTCCTATCAGCAGAGTGCCCCCGCCCCCGCCAACAAACGGGCCGGGCCGGGGCAGAGGCGGGGGGAGGGGGGGGCGCGACCACGCGTGGCCCGACGGGAGATGGAGTTCCAAAGCGAGCCCGAAATCGGAAGCTCCTGCAGCGGGATGAACTTCAACTCCCAGCAGGAAGCGCGCTCAGCCGGGCCCTGCACGCGGAGGTTCTCCCCCCGCCCTCAGCCCAGACTTGGCTCCGCCCCTCTTGTATTGTCCTATGGGACATCACCCTACAGCCCCCTCCGTTCCCCTCCTTCGCCTGATGCTTCTCCATTGCCCTAGTAGGGGATGTACCAACAGTCATTATCCCAGTGATGGAGACATTGATGCCCCGGCTTCAGCCAATGAGAAATCAGCCCTGATGGAGCGCGGGGTTTGGGAGGGAGAGAAGAGGAGCTAGCAAACTTCAGACAACTTGGCCACTCAAAATGATCAAATGAGAAATACGCTTCCATTCAATAGACGGTCATTAATTGCCTACTTACAAACGATGCACTGGGGATGCAGAAATGAAACAAGATACTCTCCCCTACGCTGGGAGGATAAGTCAAACCCACAAATATTTATAATGCAAATTTTATCGTGGTAAACGTTTGGGAGGGGTTCTAGGAGAGAAAGATCATTTTCGATTGAAAATTCGAGGGGGTGGGGAGGATTATGGCAGCTCAGAAAACAGTGACAGGTTTAGATTGGCCCGACTCTAAGAGCACACGAAAAGAATTAATATGTGAGACAGCTAGAACAATTTGTGGAGGTCTTTAAATGCCAGACTAAGGAGCCTAGGGAATCTAAAGCGATTCATAGTGATAAACATTAGCGTGTTTTAATTTGAATAAGTGATACATTTCTCTTGTGTAAAACTGAGATGTCAGTTTCTTATTTCTTACTTAATTCTTACTTTTTAAAATGTCATCTCCATTTCATTCATCCATTGCCTTTTCCACTGTTAGCTCATGCCTTGAGGACTGCAATCGCCTTCTAATGGGTCTTCCTCTCCCCAGCTATCAGGCACAGTACCGCCAAGTTAACCTATGTTAAGCAAAACTCATGTTACACTCCTGTTCAAGATATTTCAGTGGACCCATATTGTCTACAGAATAAAGTCCAAACAAATTAGCCTGGCATTCAAGGCCCTTCTCAATAAAAATACAATAAATCCTTTCTGACCTTATCTCCCATGACTTCCTTTCACATACGGTACAGCCTAGCTAGAGTGGCCATTTGTCAAACACACCGTGGCCATCTTTCTGCCTGGAATCCCTTCTCCTCTTACACCCACCTACAGGAATCCTACCCACCCTTCAAGGCCCAATTGTTCTGTGAAGCCTTACCTTAATCATTCTAGCCAGAAGGGAGCTCTCTGTCATCACTCGAACACTATTTATACCAATGACAGGAAACTTACACTGCCGTATATTGTGATGACTTTGTACATGCCTTATTTCCACGATTAGACCACCAGCTCCTTAAAGGAAGGAGCCTACCCTTTCTTACCACTTTGTATCTGCTACAATACCTTAAGTAGAATAGAAACTCAATAAATATTTGTTGAATGAATGGGGTTTTGTTTTGTTCTGTTTTTTCAAGTTTCAAATACTTATTGTTATGCTTTTCAGTGGCAAAAGTACTTAAGGAACCTACCATGAATGGGGTATTAGGATATAAGCACATAATCATAGCGGGAGTGGTCCTCATCCCAGAGCATCCCTCACTATCATCATTCAGGAAGGCATCTCTTGTGGAGAAGAGGCCAGCCAACCCCATCAACTGCCGACCAACTGTCACTCACAGAGCAGACAAGCCAGCCTAGCTGAAGCAGCAAGGCATCCTGGGGGCCAGGCAGGTCAGGCCATCTCTGACCACCTTGACCATAATCTCCCCTCAGACCCTTGTGGAGATAGCCCAAGACCCAGAATCCAAGAGCGTTGGGGATGGCAATGCCTCCAGCTCAGTCCCACAGCCATCATCCTGGGAAGCCGGACGAATTGGCAGGTACAGGACTTAGCACATTATGGAAGCACTTCAAACAGTAACCAGCATCCACAGCCCTGATAACATCTTTACTACTTTGACAAAAATGTTGATAATTCCCCATTAAAATGCTGGCCATCATATACATAAAGATGATGCAGGGTAAGGTACGCTCATAAAAGAGTTAAATTCAGACCCTACCCACCTACCTTCATTATCATTAGCTCCCGTTGAAGCTTCTGGTCTTCGGCAGAACACAGGATTGTAAACTCAGCCCTTCCACAGCTGGCAGATAACTGACACCAGGGACCAGGTCAGCAGTACTGTTTTTTAAAAGCCCTTAATGCTCTACATCTGTTTATGTATCTGCAAAGTAGTTATTTTATCTTCCTTCTCCAAAAGCTTTATTGACTTTGTAAAACATACAGTGCTATTTGAGTTGTGGTTTTGTTATTTTTTTCTTTATTGTGGAATCCCTCCCATCAGTATAGATTGAGCTTGGTAGATAAGTCCTAGGAAGCTGCCTGTGATACATATATATGTATGTATGTATGTATGTATGTATGTATGATATACATATATATAGAGAGAGAGATGTAGTTATAGATATAGATATATAGATATATTTATAGATACAGATAGATATGAAAGTTAAGTGACTTGCTTGAGGTCACACAACTAATGAGTGTTAGAGGAAGAATTTTTTTTTTTGGAGACCATCAGGGTTAAGTGACTTACCTAGGATCACACAGCTAGTGAATCTAAGTATCTGAGGCTAGATTTGAACTTTCTGACTCCAGTCCTAGTGCTCTAACCATTTCACCATCTAGCTGCCCCTAGAGGCTGGATTTGAGCACAGACTCGAATCCCACATTCCAGATTCTAGACTCTCCCTCATCCTTCAGCAATTTCTCCTTTAAGGGTCACTTCCCATTTATCACCTAATTTGGATCTTGGTGGATGGTTACCCAGCAGCCCTCAAGACATTCTTCCTCCTTTCCCCATAAGTTCAATGTCTGATTTACAGTCTTTTCCTTCCCCATCACCTGCCCTCAACCTAGCAGACTTCAGTATATATGTTGATGTTTTATAAAATACTTTAGCCTCCCGATTTCTTAATCTACTCAGATCACATGATCTGTGCTTTCACTCCGTCTCAGCTACACACGGAGATGGCCACATCTTTTGTCTTAGGTGTTGTATGATTAAGAACTATGGGGGCAGCTAGGTGACGCAGTGGATAGAGCACCGGCCCTGAAGTCAGAAGGACCTGAGTTCAAATCAGGCCTCAGACCAAACACTTGACACTTACTAGCTGTGTGACTCTGGGCAAGTCACTTAACCCCAATTGCCAAAAAAACCAAAAACCAAAAACAAAACAAACAAACAAACAAAAAAACCTATGAAATGCCTTTGGAGGCAGATAGTTGGATAGATGGCTTGTTGGGCCTGGAGTAGGGAATAGCTGAGTTCAAATCAGCCCTCAGACACTAGCTGTGTGACCCTGGATAAGTCAAAAACTTCTGTTGGCCTCAGTTTCTTAAACTGTGAAATGGGAATAATAACAGCACCTTCATTGCATGATTGTTGTGAGGATTAAATGAGATAATATTAAATAAAAAGCATTTAGTAGTAGGTGCTATGTGAATGCTTATTTACTTCCCCTTCCTTTTATCAGTTCACAATTCCCTATCATGCCATTTCTTCCTGTGAACTTTACTCCTCTAAAACCAGTTCTTCAGACTCACCATGACCATTAGTCTCTCTACCCCTTAATACTTTGTGGGATCATCACCTCTACTTTGGCTACGCTGCCTCCCTTCCCAATCTTGATCCCTAGGAGAATAGGTACAAATCTACACTATCCTTTCTTTTCAGATTCCTGGTTCTCTCATCCCTTAGCTTGTCAGCCTGGGATTTGGGAGGAACCCGAGGGGCAATCTATCCCAACCTATACCTTCTCCCAGAAGCCTTCCCTGACCCCTTCACAGCCTGCAGTGATCTCTTCCTGCCCAGAATTCCTATCAATTGTCAGCTTGTAACATCTTGTATTGTGTCTTGTGTTATTCATCTTTTCATGTATGTTTTGTCTCTCCAACTTGTCTTACAACTCCAGAATGCCTTCATTATATAAAGGGGTATTTTGTATTTATCTGGGTTTGCCTTTAATTTTCTCCACCACCACCCTTCTCCACACACATATTCACTCAACTGTGTGACCTTTTCTGAATTTCCCCTGTCCCTCTACGGGATCTGTAATAAAGAAAACAGTAGCAAAAATAATCATTTCTAGTTTTGACCAAATCTGTGATTTCATTGGTATAAGGAGCTCCTGGAGAGAAACTTTTTCTTCCCATGCAGATCAGCATTTTCCCTGAAACATTATGATCTTACTAAACTGCCTGAGGCATTAAGAGGTTAAGTGACTTGTCCACACTTCAACCTAGGTCTCCCTTACTCAGAGGTTGACTCTAACCTCTGTGATACCTGCCTCTCATGAGGATAATAGTTGTCATGTATACAGCACATTATCTCATTCATTATGTGAGAAATGAAAGAGTTAAATTTCCCCATAAGTAAATAAGAAATCAGGGTAGACGGGCTAACTTCTCCGTCCAAGGGGGGAGTGATAACACCATTCTAGGCACATAATGTATGTTAGAGGTGGGGCATATAAGT